TCAAGAAAAGTCCTGGAAAGTCCTTGAATTTCAATCTCATCATAGAGTGGGAACCCTGACTTCACTCTCCCAAAATATTATGAAAAAGTTATTGTAACTAAAAAAAAAAGCCCTATAATTTTTTGGGAAATTTCAAACCCTAAAAAACTATGTTCTATTGAAATATTAGGCTCTGAGAAATTTTTTTTTGTGTGCCAACAACAATCTAGCTTGACCGGTTAGTAGGGCACTGGGCCCATGTCAAGAAGCTTGTGGGTTCGATCCCCACCAGCCGAAGACTCCCTGTGTAGTAAATGGTTAATCATGCATCTTAAATCTTTCGGGTCTCAAAGTCCTCCTTGTTTCCATGACGAATCATATCTCTGGGGGTACTGATCCAGGAGTTTCCTTGTCTTCAGGATTGGTTCAAAATTACAAGGCTACGGAGTTGAACATTAGTAGTCCTAAACCCAAAATTTGGTCTGATGTTCAACGATGGTTAAAAAAAACAAAACAGATACAGCTGCTTGCTCCCATATCTCATGTTTTTTCTAAATTGTAATCTTTGGCATGCTGTTGCTCCCGTCTCACCAAATATTGACAAACACTTCAGCTTGAATGGTGACCAATGAAATCAGTTTTGCAGTATCCATTATTAATAATTTTATAAAAAATTAAGTAAATGAACTAAAAATCTTACGAAATAAACCCCGTTGAAATCAAACACAGTTTATGTTAAAATCTTTGTTTTTAGGCTGCCGAGAATTTGTTACCCATTTTTAATCTGTTATGTATTCCATGTACAATAATAACATTTTTCATGCATGCTTTTTAAGTTTTAACTGTTCATGTTGTTTATAATTATTGAAATATGCATGAAAATGGATTTTTTTCAATTTTCTAACATTTTAGTTTCTGTTATGTTTTTTTAAAGTCTATTTTTAGATTGATTATGCCAATACCTTTGTTTCGTCATGATAATTTAAATTCTATTCTGGCTGGCTCAATGTCTTTTAATCTTTATTTTATTTATTTTTTAATACTTACTCTATTTGTGTTTTATGAATGTAACTATATACTGTTTTATTGTTTTATAGCAAAGTGATTTGTGAGGAGAAAGTGGAAGAAGTAGTTGAAGATGTTAGCACAAAGTGAGTTATATATATATATCTTTCAATTATATGCTATAGTAACTTGTTTTGATTATGAATGTAACTTAATATTAATTATTTACTTAATAATGAATTACTCAATTAACTTAACATGAGTGAAAAATTTTTCTTCTCCTTCAGATTTCAGTGGCAACCTTGGGTTTTATCCCTGGTGTCTTTGTACCAATTTTTAAATGCTGTACTTATTTCATTATCACGATTGTTTCGTTAAAATTTGATGTTTATATTTAAAGAGTAATTGAAATGATTTAGATAACAGCTCAAAATCAATGAGCCGCAAGCTCAGGGGATAGGGCATTCACCTTCCAATGAGGTGAACTGGGTTCGAATCCCAGCAATGGCTGATTGATACCAATCCACATCCGACTTGCACTGACCTCAGTGCTGCTGTGAAATATCCTCAGTAGTAGACGGATCATGGGTTTGAGTACCTTTGCTGTCAGGCTAACTGTGGGAGGTTCTTGTGGTCTTCCTCTCCATATAATGCAAATGCTGGTTTGTTCCATCAAAAAGGCAAATTTCTCCCAATACTTGATCCAGGAGTTCCCTTGTCTTCTGGATGGGGTTTTAAATTACAAAGCTATGCAGTTGAACATTGGTAGTCGTTTTTTTTAAATTTATTTATTTCCAATGGCAGGCCAATTTAAAAGAACAAAAAGGATAAAATAACAAGAAAAACAAGGCAAAAAAAGATAAATAGAATTGAATGCATAGTGACATGCTTAACCCATACGGACCCTAGCCTCCTAGTAGCGTCCACACACAGTAGTGGAGATGAGCGCAGGACAGACGGAAATATGGGGCAAGTCCATGTCCTCCCCAAGGCGACAGAGCTTGCATTTAGGACAGTCAAAAATTTTTATACTAAAAAGGTGTTTGGCCAGACAGTCATGGCCCGTTATTAGTCTAAAGAGAGCGACTGCCTTAAACCTGGGCTGATTTGGGATAGAACATTGGTAGTCCTAAACCCAAAAATTGGGTCGGCTATTCAACGATGATTATAAAAATAAAAAAATCATGAAAATAAAAAATTTAATTTATGATATTACTTATTGGTGCTGGTATTATTTACATTCTGTTACAATTTCAAAATAGCTGATATTTGGATCGTTGGTAAAATTATAGCAGGTTTTAGGAGGTATTGTATGGTAACACTCACTTAATCATTCATAGTCAGCATTTGCAATTAAAAAATATACCAAATAATAGTTCACTAATACATAGTTTTAAATGGGAAGCAAAACTAAAATATGTACTAATATTTATTAAAAATAATTAACTTTCACCACTTCATACTTATAACTGAAATAAATAAATTTTAATGAAATGAAAATGTCTTGCTTTTAATGTTTTGTTTTGATACGTCTTTTTTGTGACAGATATAGGAAGTGTTGAATAGTAATACAGTAGGGAACCGATTATCCGGAACGATCGGGACCATCGCTATTCCGGATAACTGATGTTTCCGGTTTTCTGAATCGCTGCAAAAAGCCGTTTTTTTTATTGTTAAATCCAACTTAAAAATATATATATATTTGGAAATAATCTTAAAAAGAAGAAAAAACGATGAAGTAATACACTAATGATTATTTCCAAACTGATAGTAAGGTAAACATCTTTCAAAACAGAAAGAAAAATCCTAAAGTCTTATGAGGAAAAAATAATTTTGTTTTTAAAAAAAGGCGGGAAAATTTGTCGAATTTCGTTCCGGTTTTCTGATTTCCGGATAACGGGTTCTGTTCTGTATAATAATTTTAGCTGTTTATTTTATCTCACTCTGGAACACCATCTTTCAAGTTTTTTTTTAGTTTTTCATATACAAAATGAATAATTTTTCTGTTCATTTACTTAACTCTGGTATCGAAATTATATCTAAGTGATTAAGCAATCATATATTGTTGATGCATTTTTTGATAATGTTCTTTAATTATTTTTTAATAATGACCTTTACCTGAAAAATTGTGTCTATTATTACTTCAGCTGATTGTTTATTATACTATGCCTTTGTAAATACATTAAAATGCTTTGTTAATTCTTTTTTTAAATAGACAACTCAATAAATAACCTGTTTGTATTATTTCAGCACAATCCATATTTATTATTTAGAGTATTTATGATATTTATTACAATCTCAGATTGATTGAAAGATGAGGAATGCATTACAATATAAACTTATAGTTTTAATAGTGGTTTTGAAAGAGTAGATACCTTTAAAATGAAATTTCTAATATAATACTTCACAGTAAAGCAAACAAATGTAATCGAAATAACAAAACGTGTAATGTTTTGCATTAAGTATGTCACTTTCCCATGAAATTTAGCTTATAGGCTGTGTCAAAATTTAAGACTAAAAAGAAGAATTAAGACTAAAGGCTCTTATTAAGAATGTCATCTTCCAACCAAATTTAGCTTATAGGCTGTATCAAAATTTAAGACTGAAAAGAAGAATTAAGACTGAAGGCTCTTATTAAGAATGTCACTTTTCCACAAAATTTAGCTTATAGGCTGTATCAAAATTTAAGACTGAATTTTAAATCAAAATCACAATGAGAAAACCTTAACTCTTAACTTTAAATGTGCTAATAATTTATGTTCCAGTGTAAGCTTTTTTTAAAAAAAGTTATTGATATTATCTTTATTTTATTCATCCAATAAATTATTCTCCATTTTTTTTATAGTATATTAGAAATCAACTCTGCTTCCGTTGAATCATTAGATGATGGTAAGTATTTGAAAATGTTTTGACTTTTATTTTATACTTTTTAATTTAGCAATAATTTCAAATTAATTGGACAAAAATTTCATTTAGCAATGCTGTTAGGTTAATATTTTATCATTACAAGATTATTTACAGTCTGTGCATCATTTATATTTAGATGAATTGAGAATTTGTCTCTAGAGAGGATTTAAAAAAATAATTATTTGTCTATGCTTATCCCTTTATTTTTATGGCTACTGTAAATGCACTTTTTTTTAAAAAAAAATCTATCTTTTCTAATTGAAATATGCAAAACTCTTTTCATTAATTACAAGATAACAAAATGCAAGACTGTTATAGATTAAATTATTTTTTATCCAATTGCACATTTTCTTTTTAGTTTGAGGTGAAATTTACTGGCTCTTCAAATCTCTTTTTCTAAATGGAAAACTTTGTTCACTTTCAATCATGCATTTTCAAATATTTTTTTGCTTTTATTGTCTTTTATCTGAGAATATGAAAAGTGTTTTAAATTATTATAAATTTATTTTATATACTATCAAAGGTTTACACATAATTTCATAATTCTACCCAATTTCTGCAATGCATGTGCTGTCAGAAACAGATTTTTTTTCCAGTTTCTTAATATCTAAAAGCTAAGCTCCAAATATTTTGCAAAACCTAACAAATCTGTCTTCTGACAATGTTAAACTTAACTATTTATGGATTCTTATTTACTTAGCTTATTTTGTTGAAAACTTTCATTTTTTATTTGTTTATTTAATGTGTTTATTTTAATTTGTTTTGCTTAAGAACATTGACTTATTATTGAACAGACAGATATTTTTCTTAAAATTATTATTAGAAATATTTTGTTATTTTTTTAACAAAATGCTTAATTTTTTTAACTCTTAATTTAACTTTTTTTCCCCAGACTATTTGTTTGAAACCATTCATGGATAACTATTAATGTTTTCTTAGACATTCATTTATATGATCTAAATATTCGAATTTTTATTGATGACAATTAATTTCTTTCAAAGCTGTATCATAATCATATACCAATTATCCAAATTTTGATTTAAAAGGTATAAACATTAAAATTTTGTTAACTAAAATTTCTTACTCCCTAGAACAGGATGTGTAGCATTTTTAAAAAGTGCTTAAAGGTGCTTATTTTTGATTTACATTTTTTATAAAGCCTTAAAGGTGGTTTTTTTTAATTTGAGGTTTGTAAAAAGTGCTTAATTTCTATCTTTAAAAAAAAAAAATTTTTTTCCTTCGCTGTGTCAATTGTCGTTCTAAATTACAAAAAATTCACAATTTTCTCTGCAATATTTATCAGAAACCACTTATTTTATCATATGTAAAGATTTTGAAAATGTTTTTTAATTTTATTGTTTTTATGTTTTTGAATTAAGAACTTTAAGCAGTAGAATTTTTTTTATTTATTATTCCTACATAGATCCTAATTATATGTATATTTTTTTGGATAGTGATTGAAAATATTTTTTGAGTGCTTAAGAAGTACTTAAAAGGTGCTTATTTTTTGTTGAAAAATCTGGCTACAGAAGCATTTGTTTCCTCTCAGTTTCAACAGGTTTCATTTATAGTTGTTTCTTATTACAATCACTAGATGGCACCACAGTTGAATTGACCTTGCTGTTCCATCCATTTATTTTTGTTCTGTTTATGTTCTGTTCTGAGCTATGAGAAAAGTGAAAAACCATTTTGAATTTGTTCTTGCTATTTTAGTTAAATTTAAGTACATTTATAATGCAAATGGTGCAATTCTTTCTTTTAATTAATTTTAATTTAGGAGGTAAAATATTTTATAAATATATATGAATATATATTTTTTGCTTGAAATTTTTAGTTGTGAAACATAAGGTCTAATTAACTTATTATTCTTATTTATTCATTATTATTCTTATTTATTCATTATTATTCTTATTTATTTATTCTTATTCTTATTAATATACTTATCTTCTTAGTATTATTCTTATTCTTCTTATATTATTATTCTATCTATTATATTTTTCTTTTTAGTAATATATTGTTCTTATTTTTATTCATCCATTCTTTTAGAAATAATTATTTGTGTGACTTGTAGGTAGCCAAGGAACAAGTGATACTGAAGATGATACAATGTTGCAGCTATTGGATGATGAACCAGAATCTTGGAATGGTACTGTGGATAAAAAGGTAACATTGTTTGTATCTGAAGAATTTATTTTTTTTTGCATTCTGTGTTTTTTTAAATTAAAGATGTATTTATTTCTTTAATTACCTTTTATTTTAATTCAAATCAGATTTATTTAATACTGTTAGAATATCAAATCAGATTTAATGAACTTATATATTTATTAGACTTTTTTAAAAAAATGTATAATTTATACATATGTTGGTTTAAATAATTAAAACCAAACTAATTATTAACTTAAAATTAGCAGTAAAAATCCTGATCTGTTGCTCTTAATGGACATGTAAATATTTAAAAAAAACACTTACAATTATTTCTTACTACCAACTTCTTTATTCTTATGTTGGATAGCTTTCAACACATTTCCATAACCCTGATTCTGAAATAAGTTTAAGATTTTTTTTATTTGTATAAAAATAAGTGTTTAATATCTTATTTATTAATTAATTATAGAATTAAATTTTTAAAGATTAATTTATGATAATAAGAAACAGTGTCTTTCAATTATATTTTATTTATATTTGATTTAAAAAATGTTTCTGCTGAAACTTTGGACAAAAATATTGGATTTTGTAAAATAGATTTTTATGTACATTAGAAATCAAATTCAAATATAGTTTTCTCCAGTTCTTCTGTTTTATTCTTATAATTTTTACTTTTATAGCTCTCTCTCTTTGTTCATGAATATCATTTTAATTTTTTTCAATAATTTTCTTGCATTAAAATCTTAGCTGAAGCTGTTTTTTCAAAAAGTATTTTCATCGTATGAAAAAATAATATTTGTAGAATTGTATAGTATTTTTATAGTTTTCATTAGTATGTAACAGTTATTCATACCTATTTGGTGAAATTGGTAAATAGTAATTTGGTGTTTTGTTTGTTATAGATTTTAAAGAAATTGAAAGACAAAGATGTCAAGAGACAAGAAGCAATTTATGGTATGGTATTTTTTTGGTAAATTAAATATGGTAAATTTACAACGGTTTAGCGGTACCTTTACAAATTCAACTTTAGGAACGCCAGATCAAAGCGAGCTTTTTTTTTTTTTTTCTCCCTCTGAGTATTTTGTAATGAAACAACAAGGCTTTACCTCTATAAACTCTACAGGAAGTGGAAATTCAAACATTATTCTAAACATTCGAAAATCATCTTAAACATTATTATAAATTTATTTTAACAGATTTTTATTTTTTATGAAAAAAAATTTTCTCTGTGAAAATTTTTTCTGTATGACCTAGTCAAAAATGCTCTCATAATGAAAATAAATTTTAGTGCTAGTACTTTTAACTGCATGTTTTTATTAAATTCAAGTTGAAATTTAACTATGGACAGTGATTTTTATGGATTTTTAAATTTTGATACAATTTTAAGGCTAAAATTCTCAGTAGCAAAATTATTTTTGAATATATGCGGCGAAATATGTAGAAATTTATCAGTCTTGAATAATTTGTAGTGGCAATTTATGAAAATGTTTTCTTACTTTACCATATTTTTGTGTTGATTTTTAATATAATTTTTAATTTCCACAAATTATGTCGAAATTCTCACAAAATAAGTACCTCTCAAAAAAACCTGGAGAGACCCCTTATATTATCTATAAAATTGAAGTTTTTAATAAAAAATATTTTATTTTAAAACTCTAATTAGTGACTTTTACAATGTGTGAATAAAAGTTAAATTAAAACTTTTGTCTTTTCAGAGCTTATTCTTACAGAGAAACACCATTGTCTAACACTTAAAATAATGCAACGGGTAAGTGCTTTTCATTTCTTAATTTTAAGAGCTTTACAAAAATATTGCCTTCTTCAAATTTATTTTATCTGTTTGTTTTCGAAGGTGTTTGCAAAAGGTATGATACAGGAATTGAATGTCAGTAAAGATATGGTGCAAAGACTGTTTCCCTGTCTTGAGCAACTTTTGAGGTATCATCTAAACTTTCTTCAGAAGCTGAGGGAACGACAGAGATTAGAAGCCATAGTCTCTCATATTGGGGATGTTCTGGTACAACAGGTGAGCAACAAAAGATCACTCATTAACACAGGGTTTCTGCGCTCCCGGAAAGTCATGGATTTCATCAGTATTGAACAAAATTTGTCATGAAATGTCATGATTTTAACTATTTTTAAAAAAAATCATGAAAAGTCATGGATTTATATCGCCCGAAAATCTAATTTTTAAAATGGAATTTATCCCCTCCCCCCCAATTTCATGGTGTTTCAGATATCTGAATTTGTAACAAAATCCTCACTCACAGTGTATTTGATTAAAATATAAAATGTTTTAATTGTGTTCTTTAAAAATTATGGTGTTCTTTCGAAAAATGAGAGAAAAAACATAATTTCAGGAGCGAATTATCTTTTAAACTTCTGTGATTTCAGAATTTTTGTTATTATTTATTTTTTTATTTTATCAATTTAAAATTCTAGCTGAAGCAAGCCAGTCATTGGCGAATTTTGTTTATTCAGAAAAATCAGGAGTATTTCTCTCCTTTCCGATGAACTTGAAAAGTATCGTTCGAATGTAATTCCGCAGAAAAAAATAAGAATATTATTTGCTTTTGTATTTTTTTTCCAGCTATTTTATTGCGTCAACTCTTTCTTTACTCTGATTTTTGAATTTAAAATCTATAAATATGAAGATGCAGAGTATAACAGTTTTGGTTATACCTATCATTTCAATTAATGTTATTATAATGCTTTTTTAAATTTATTGTTGTGGTATTGTCGGAGAAAATAGTAACTCATGAAAAATTCTTAGAATTAGTCATGGAAAGTCATGAATTTGAAAATCTAAAATGTAGCAGATACCCTGTTAACAGAGCAACCTCATCAATTGTCGTTCTCCGATTTAAATGATTTTTATATTATAAGAGTTTATTACATACATTAATATGCGAATAAAAAAATTACTTATATCGGGCAAAAAAAGCCTTATTTTCTATCCCATCCTAAGAAAAACTGCTCATTTTATTCTTGTCATTTCTCTGGTAAGGCATCCTGCATATTTACAAGTGTAAGAACATAAAACGTTTAATTCATCCCTAATTGACATATATTTATAAGATTCTATTTGCTTTGATTGAAAAATATTCTTTTTGAAAAGAATAGAGTTTAGAATCGAAAATATTTGGTTTTAGTTGCTTTTTTTTCTTACATATAATCGAAGTATATTTATATATTTTCATTTTCTTTTCTTAGTTTGAAGGTGAAAATGCTGAAGATGTTCGATTATTCTATTCTCAATTCTGTAGTCAACATAAGGAAGCTCTTTCTTTGTATAAGGATTACCTAAAATCTGATAGGAAGTTTCAGTCTTTTGTTAAAGTAAGAACCATTTATTTAGTGAAAAGTGCATCTTCTTTATCTGTTCATTTTTAATAATTCTCTGTTATTATTAAAAATTGTTAATTATTTAGAGTTTAAATTTAAAATCTTTTTTTACCAGATACTGGTTACTAATACAAAAAGTGAAATGTCTCTTTTTACAAAGTTTTTACTTAAAAGGATTGTATATTATACCACTGATGATTATTTGTAATCATTTAATTGTATTACATTAAATATTACTAACATATTAATTCTGTATTATAGAGGTGTTCTTCTAAGCCATTCTGCAAAACTCGGGGCATTCCGGAATGCATCTTACTAGTCACTCAACGTGTTACAAAATATCCCCTTCTTATAGATTCTTTAATTAAGACTACAAAAGGTAATGATTTCTCTTGTTTCCAATAAATAATTTGTGTCTTTTTTTTTACATTCTTAATTATGACTTCAGAAGGATTTCTTTTGCTGTCATTCAGTGTTCATAAATAATTCCTGCAATATTTTTTTCCATCCACTTTATTATGTTTATATAGTTATGGCTCAGCCCAAAATGTTTGGAGATAATCAGAATTTTAAGACAAACAAAAGTGATGGAAAAGATTTTAGTAAATTGTAACAAAATTGCATCATGTCTAAATGAAAGAATTTGATATAACCATCTTGTTTAGTAAAGATTGCTACATGGTTCTTTTGCAATCCATCTTAAGTGTCTAAACTAAGCTGTAAATTTTGTTAACTGTATTTGTAATCGGAATTTTGAGAACAGGAAAAGTCCATACACTAAGAACTGCCTGTGCCACTTTGCTCTTAAATCAACCTCAACAGAAGAAAGTGAGTTTAAATCTGGAGGAAATGGTGGCCATTCAATACTGCCTTGAATCTGTAATCCTACAAAAGGATTTCACTGTAAAAATGCTCATTGAACAGAAACTTTTCTGTTTGTTTTAATTAAATTACATATTAACTTCACATTTCATATATTTTTATATTCCTATTCAATCCTTCTAATTCTGTAAACAAAAAGTAAACAGTATTGTTTGTGTTAGTCACGTGAGTACCTAAAGGCGGTAAGATGGTTTGCGTGCATTGGGGTAAGAGTGTGAGCAAAGCTTACATAACACCCTAAGATCATCTTATTTTCAATTTTTTTTTAAGGAAAAGAAAGGAACAAATATTTTTTTTCTTAAAAATTACTCTGAAAATTTTTATTTAATCATAGGAAATGAAAGTTACATTTGGAATGGAAAAAGTTGGAAAAGAGTTTTTTCTTGGAATTTTAAAATTTTATAAAATAATTTATAACATAATAACAAATATAAACATAATATTAAAATAAAATTTAATTTTAATATTAAATGACATCTTTTGTTTAAATTTAATTCTAAAATTCTTGAAATTAAATTACTACAGTTAAAACGAAAAACAAAGAGATTTTGTATATAGCTCACCGAGGATGGAAACAATGCCAAAAAATATGCTTATATATTATCTGAACGAACCCTTATAAACTATCACTCTGTTATAATAAAGCAAAAAATAATGTGTTCAATTAATGTATTTAACTAGAACTGATAATCCTTTCTTTACTTTATGAAGCACTTTATTCAATGTCAAGATACAGAACGATAACTTTATGACACACTGTTGTTTCCTTGTTGTATTTACAAGGTTTTCTGTAATGACCAGCCTTACATTTTTAGTATCCTTGTTGAAAAGAAAGTTAAAAGAAAAGAGTGCTCATTTGATGCAGCAAATTAATATTTAAGGGGGAAAAAAGCAAAAATGTATGAAAAATTATTCAAAAGTGTGATTCTTCTCAAATCATTAAAACCTATTTCAGGGTTGTCCCTCTACAGGGAGAATAGGGAAAAACCTGGAAAATACAGGGAATTTTTATCTTTTAAAAAATTCAGACCTCTCAAAGTGTAGTCTATGGGATATATAAAGATAATAGTTCAGCTATATTAAATTATTTAATTTATATTAGCCTTATTTGTTTTATGTTGAACTGTTCCTTATTTTTTTAAGTTTTTCCAGCAACTAAAACTAGTATCGTTATCCTATTACCGGGTGGCCATCCACCTGGAAAACCTTGAAAACCTGGAATTATCAGGGAATTTTTTTTATACTGGTAAAAACCTGGAAATATCAGGGAAATTTGGATAAAAGCCTGGAAAAATCAGGGAATTTTAAAGAAAAGCTGGAAATTTTTCTTTTGATAATTTTTTTAATTTCGCCAATTTAAATTTTTAACTAATTTTCTTAATTTAAATTATTTCATCCATTATACCCACTTTTTTTAAACAGAAATGTATCACCAAACAGTTGAAATATCATCAACTTAGCGATACTTTGCTTTCATCAAAATTTGCTCCATTACAGCTCTGTTAAACTAGAATGTAACATAAAATGCTCCCACGGTTGCTAAACGAATGTAGAAATCTTTGATCGCTGTGGGACTGTGCAATTTAGTAAAGATTCTGGTGGAGGAGGAAAAAGGGATTAGGATGTTAGCTTCTCTTTTTAAATTCTGTCCTTGGACTGAATTCATTTATGACTCAAGTTTGTTCCGATGATTTGGAAGTAATTTTTTTTTCTCTTTTGACAAAATGTTTTTGTATTTTTAACTTTATAAAATTCTCCAAAAATTAGTTGGTTATAATTGAATAATAATAGATTTTATAAAGAACCAACTATATATTAATATTTAATTTTACTCTTTTGTTGGCCAATATATGATTTTTGATTCAAAATTTGGTACCAAAACATGAAAAAAAAATTATTTTGACAATTTGGCAAGATTTTGTATTTATTTTTTAAAGATAAGTTAAAAAAAAAATAGCATTTTGAATAAAATGTTTATAATATAGACACTTTTCTTGTACACATCCTATACTTTATAAGAAAAAAGAAACAAAAACCTGGAAATTTTAAGATTTTTATCTGGAAAAATCAGGGAAATTTGATTTGAGTGACCACCCTGTATTACAGCACACAAGCGCACAGGAAATATTGACCACTCAAAGGGCAATCTATGGGATATTTAAGGAAGATATTTCAGCTGAACTAAAATATTTCATTTACTATAACATTATTCCGCTGTTCCTTTTTACTCTTAAGTTTTTCCAGCATTTAAAACTAGTATACTTTGCCCAATGAAGCTCATACAAGAGTTCAGTACTTCCTTCCTCTTTATACGTTGTGTATAATACGTACAGGGCAAACACGGGGCATTTTTTTCTCCAGATTTGAATGGCAACCCTGCATTTGATTGTCAGAGAAAAAACAAAAGAAATTATAAATTGGTTATTAAAAACTCTTTTGTGACAATCAATCTTATTTTGATGTTTTTCATCCCATCTTCCTCAAGATAGTGATTTAAAAGCATTTTCGTTTCTTTCTCTCTTAAATATTAGTTTGTGAACCAAACTTTGCATACTTTTTTCTGCTTCATTTTTAACAAGTATTCTAAACATCTACATGAAGGTTGGTAATTACAGAAAACCCTGTAGTTATATCTCTCTGTTATATTTACTTAGTAAAGTCAATCATACCTGAAAATTAATCTACATACTTTATATTTTAGATAATAAAGTAGAAATAGACTGCCTGAACAGAGCATTAGCCAATATTAAAGTAAGTTTTATTTATGTTTAAATTATTAAACCTAAATAGATAAAAGTGTTTTTACTGATTCTTCATAAATAATGTTTTGTTGTTGCTTATTTATTTTGTTGTATAATAAATGTTCATTAGTGTCTTATTTAAAGATACTGTATCAATTGGATGTTTCAGGAAATAGTTGCTCAAGTTAATTCTGCCGTAGCCTCAAAAGAAAAGGAAGAGAGATTACTCGAAATATACAATAGAATAGATGCTAAGTCTACTGCCTTTTTTAAAAAGAAAAAGTTTAAAGTGAGTTTAAATTTCAATTTATTTCATTTTTGTTTGGCAATTTGAAGTTAGAGGGTTTCCACTCCACAGGAAGAAAAGGGAAAACCTGGAAAAAATGGGGAAGTTTATTTAAAAATCACCAAAATTAACAGGGTTCAAGTTTTTCTTAATAAACTGGGAAAATACAGGGAATTTTGTTTTCTTATTTTTAACCATTCAATATCACAAATTCGAAAGATGGAGTTGCGAGGGGGGGTGGAAATGGTGACTTAATAGCTAGGATTTTTGTAAAATCACTGAATTAGGAAAAAAGACTAAAGTGACTTAAAAAGGATGGTTTCAGTGTTTAATATATTTTGACGACAGGTTTTTTTTTTAAAAAATTCTTTTTTAGTCTGATTATCTTTTTAGTTTAAAGTTTATTTTGGAAATTAAAAAGTCAATATTCCCAAGATATAAGATTGTTGATGATCGTTTTCTTTTGTTGTTTGGTGGGGCAGATTTCCAAACCTCGACGTGTGTATTGTATTCCCTTGATATCATTTCTTACTTAATATATTTTTTTTGTAAATATCACAATGCGTTTAAATTTTAGCTTTCTTGGCATTTTTCACTTTCTCAGTTATTCTGCCACCAACTTTATATTTTAATAAACGCTATACAATTGATTTAATTAGTGCTATAAGGAAAATTTCTTCTAACAATTCTTTATAAAGCGGAGGCATTATGCTTCCTTAAATATTGAAGATTATGCTTTTTAATGGGTATGCCAAATGTGTTTGATGATTTGGTGTATAATTTAAAAATAACAAAAGAGAGAAATGTATGGTTTTCTGTGCTCACCTTAAAAATGCAGGTCACATATTCTTGCCAAGTTTCAAAATTAGATATAAAGTCCATTATCAAAAGAAGTGCTGTCGGGGGAAAAACAGTGAAACAATGTTCTCATGCATTATATCACTTTAGCTCAAAATAATTGTGTGGACATTTGTGACTCAGACTGTGCCACATTGTTACTGTAAATGTAACTATTTTTAAAACATTGTTTTATAGCTTTTCCAAGTTGGTTAGCAAACTTAAAAGCAAATATTGTGTGATATTTAATTTTAAGTGAATAGCATTGTCTTCTTTGAAACCATATGTTTCCATTTCCTTTGAGGTTTTTTTAACTTGATTTTCCAATTTGTTGGTCATGTTTGGGACATTTGGTATTAAACACTCATATTTCTACCATTTAATTTACAAATTAAATGGAAATTAATAAATTTTCATTTGATTAAAAAACATATCCTTTCTTTTAATAACTGTATACAATAAATTAATATATAATACTTGTAATTAGTTCGTTAAAACTTGTTCATTGCAAACTTTTGTATTTATTATTTTTATTTTTTTCAACTTATATTTTATCTTTCTCACAGTGCTCGGGATATTAATTTTCAAGTAACTGCAAGTTTTAAAAGTCTTAAACATATTTGTGATTGTTCCTCTTTTATATTCATGTTATATTTGTTACTAATAACACAATATCATTTTATTGAATATGGAGTGTTTGTTGCATTGGAGCTGCTTCAAGCTCTTGCATGTAAAACTATACATTTAGCCTGTAATTTATTTATTGAAATCAACAGCTCTTTGCTCTTTAAAATTTGCTTAGTTCATATAAATTTTATTTTTGTAGAAATCAGATTTATTATCAGATAGCCGTAAACTACGGTTTGAAGGGATTCTTGAGTGGAAAAGTGCCAGAGGAAAAGTTATTGGTAAGTTGAGTTTTTATTTTTATTTAGTCATTCATTTAGCTTGAGTTCATAAATAGGTTTAAAAAAAAGTCATACAAATGAATAAGTTATACCACTCTCAAGTTCTTCTACATTTTTTAAATGAAAAAATAAACTCTAATTAAGTCTACATTGAAATTATAATTGGCTATTTTTATCTTTTAAAAACTTTAAAAAGCAAAAAAAAAAAAAAGAGAGAGAGAGAGAGAATTTTATGAATATTCAATTCAATTTACCTAAAGAATTCTATTTTCCTCCTAATTTTGAATGCATACATTTCAAAACAGTAGATGAAAAAAGTTATATTTTAAGTTTTTTAGAAAGATTTTTTAACTAAAAGAATGTAATTTTCCTTCCAAAAAATTCATATAATTTTATTTTAAAATAACTAGAATAAAAAAAATCTTTCACACACACACAGATATATATGTATCAAAACAATGGCTACATAAAATAATATCAAAGCATTTTTTTAAATTTCTATACTAGTGTGAAACAATAGATTGAGTATACAAGTTATATTGCTTAATTACTGCTCTGTGTAAGCCATTATTTCCCTTGTCAAGAAATTAAGAATAATTTTTTTTTTTTGTAGAAGTTCACATGGTTATTTTATCTGATGTTATTGTCCTACTTCAAGAAAACAATCAGAAATTTACTTTTGCTTCCTTAGATAATAAAGTAAGTTCTGTTCTGTATTTTTTTTTATTTTGTGTTAATCCTGTTGCTTCCTGATTAAAAAAATTATCAAAACTGTACCTGCATTTAAATTTTTTTTTTTTTTTTTTTTTTTTAATTTTTTTTTTACAAAAATGTTCATATTTTCAGAAATATTTGAGTTACGTTTACGNTTAAATTTTTTTTTTTTTTTTTGCTTTGTAACAATTTTTTTAAAGTTTCTGAAAAAGATGCCTATCAGAATAGATTTTTGATTGATATATTGCTTGTTTTAGTATTTAAATAAGTATTACCACTAAATGTAAGCAAGGTGACTAAAGAACAGGAAAAAATCAATTGCTAAATTCCATGCATAAGAATTATGTGCATAACTGTGAAATTAATAATATTATTTGAACCACTGATTTCAAAAATGAGCAAATTTGATAAAAATCAGTTCGGAAAAAAAAAGCCATAAGTTCCTTGTTTATCAGTGAAAAGTCTGGGAAATTTTTGTTTGTTTCGGAATTTTCTGTTTGTGGCCATCCTGGTAAACCCTCTTTTTGAAATAATCAGTTTGAAACTTTTTCTTTTCTTAAATATTATAGAATTTTAAGTTTTTTTATTTTGATTAAATTAAATTGCTAGAATTAAGAATAAGTTTAAGAATAAATTATTATAAGAATAAATTATTATAAGAATAAATTATATTAAGAATAAATTATATTAAGAATAAATTGTTATATTAAGAATAAATTAAGAATTTAGATTAAATTCAGAATGAATTTCAGCTGTCTAAAACAAATTCAATACCTGTTAGCATTTGAAATTATTTATTGAGTAATAAAAACATTTTATTTTCCATTAATTTAATGTCACTTATCATTTAAACAAAACTGGTCAATTTAAAATTGTAGTTCTTAAGAGTAATAAAGTTTTTGTATTTTGTTGATTATAAAACTATTTGTGACTAAATTATTTTTGATATTGTCGAAATATACGTTATTTTGTAAAAATGTATCTGAAATTTTCTTGGGGCAGCTTTGGTTTTTTTCTATAGTTTTTCTATGTGTTTATGTTGCAGAAAAATAATTCTAAATATCCACAAAATTATTTTAAACACATACTTTCTTTATTAGGCTGCCATTATTTCCCTCCCAAAGTTGCTCGTACGAGAGAAAGCTGGGCAAAACAGTCGAGGTATATACTTAATATCATCCAATCCAAAAGATCCTGAAATGTACGAAATGCTCTGTTCTTCCCCCAAAGATAAGAAGCATTGGCTACAGATTATAAGAGATTCTGCTGCCATGGCTGCTCGAGGTATAAATTTTTTTTTTATTGCAGTTTACTATTTGATTAATTATTCACAATTTTGTGTTGTTATTCTCAATTATTTTTGTTTTCTTTGTAGTCCTTGTTAAAATTTATTATATTATACCATTCTTTTTTTCCCTATGCTTTCTAAAATTTGTATATTCTGCTATCAGTGCCAGTTTCTATTTGAAGTAGTTCTCAAAATGAAATATAGATGCCAGCACAAAGTCAAGTGATTAATAAATGTCTATTTTTATGTATTATGTAGTTTAGTTCTCCAGATGTTTTGTCTCAATAAAGTTGTGTTATTAAAACTGGCATGGTAATTTCAAAGTGATTGTTTCCTCGAGAAGAATCCCTTTTACAGTGCCCTACTCAAAATTTCTCCTTGCTTTCTAAAATTTTATATTATAATATCAATACCTACCCTAAAATTTGTCCTCATTTAAATTTTATTGTTTATTACTATTTTATACTTAAGCTTCTTCTCTCATAAAAATATTATGTTACAGTATGCGATTTTTAAAAAAATGTTTTTGTTGATGGGGTTTTCATAATGGATTAGGTTTTTCTGTCACTGAAATAAAGTTAGAAAAAGATTTCATTTTTAAAAAGTAACCAGTATAAATAAAAGAAAAGTAATTAAGTGTTATTATTAAAATTTTTTAATAAAAGAAGTAATTTCTTTGCAAACATTTTAACAATTTTTTAAAAAGTCTATTAAAAATAGCTGCTTCAATTTTAATAATAAATTATTTACCAAAAAAAGTAATTTTTGCATTAGGAAAGATAAATACAAAAACAATATTTTTCTATTTATCGTTATTCCTTTTCTCAAAAAATATTTATTTTATATCAAAATGATTTTACTGATTATGGAAATATATAAGCAAACATAAGAAAAATTTATATTTTTGTATTAATTTAATTATTTTTATCGAGTATTTTTTATTACATTTTGACCAGTTAGACTACTTCTAGTTACTAGTTAGAAGTAAATTCAAATTTCATTATAATAGTTTTGTATTCATAATTTTTACCAAAAATTATTCATCAAATAAATTTTTTTAATTATAGTATTAAATATTGAAAACTGTTTCTTTTTCTTCTTTTTTTTTTGTTACTGATGTCAAAAAATTAATTAAAATAAAAGTATTATTTTTTCATTTATTTAATGCATCTTCAAAGTGTTTTTTTTGTTTTTTTTTTAACTTTATATATTTTTAGAAGCAGTGATAAAACTACATTCCAGTTATTAGACTGATACTCATTATATAATAAATCATGTAATAAATTTTTATAAGTGTTTGATATCTATAATAAGTGGTTTTAAGTATTGCAAATAGAAACAACGTACATAAATATATTTTCTACACAGATGTTGGAACAAATAAATACTTCCTTCCCTTCTATAAAGTGCCTTAAAAGAATTTTAAGTTTAGAAAATATCAGACATATTTTTTTCAATATGGTACAAAAAAAAATTATAATGATATGTGAGCCACTTTTTTTTACTGCAACTTTTCTTTTTTGAAGGGTGTTGGGCCGTACTGTAATTTTTTAACTGTAATTTTTTAACAGAACTGTAACTAACGAAACTGTAATTTTTTAACAGAATTTATGTCGATTGTATATGAGAATGGCTATAGTGTTATACATATCAATTGTGACAAGAAGAGTTTATTCTTAAAAAAATATTTATTAAAAAAAAAAAAAGGCTTTGCACAAGTGTAGTATTGTTTAATTTTATTGCAAAGAATGTAATTTTAAATTATTGATGAAGATTTGTGTGAGTTATGAGTTCAGCTACAACAGAAGCTTTTTGGAAATTTTCTTTTCTCACATTGTGATGAAGAACTAAAGATAAAAATTGAGAATGAGGTAAACATTTTTATTTAAAAGGCATAAGAGTACCTTATAAACAGAAAAACAAAAGGTTCTCTTAAAAATTTATAATTTTATTTTTATTACCTTTGTAATTGAAAAAGTATAGTATAAAAATGTGTCCAAAAATATTTGAATATTTGGTCTATTTTGTACTTATTATTTCATTGTGATTATATTATTATGAGGTTCGTTTAAGTATGCATTATATTCATTTTGTGTGAGCTTCTATCGTAGGGTTGCCACTCCTCAGGAAAAACCTGAAAAATACAGAGAATTTAAAAAATCATCTAATATAACAGGGAAAATGCATGGAATTTTGAATTTTTCCTTACAAACTGGGAAAAAACATGGAATTTTTATCTTTTAAAGCTATATTAAATTATTTAATTTATTATAGCATTATTTGTTTTATGTTGAGCTGTTCTTTATTTCTTTAAGTTTTTCCAGCAACTAAAACTAGCATTGTTATCCTAGTATAGCACACAAGAACACAGTGGATGTGTGTTTCCTTATAATATATTGTGTATAATATGTGCAGGGAAAACACAGGGAATTTTTTTCCCCAGATATCATTGGCATATCTCTGTTGTGTCATCAATATTTTAAAGTTAAAATACTGATGACTCTACAGATTCAGTATTTTATTATGGGAATAATTGATAGTACAAAATATTTATGTAATGCCCTCAAAGCATAAAAAATAATCCCAAAAGCCTGTATACTTGTAATTTTATTTATTTTTGATTTTCGTACCTATTATAAATAAATGTCCAAACCTTAATTTTGATGCATGCTTTAAAGTTTTTTTTTTTTGCTCTGATGTATAATTAATATGATGTAACAAAGTAATAATGCTTAAATATGTGTTTTAATTATTTTGCAGAGGCAAGAGAACACAGTATCGTAAGAGGTAGAACAGATAGTGATATTATTGTAGATGATGACAAAACTTGCAAAATTGCTGATTTATGTGGTAAAAATATTAATTCATATAATCTATATTAGTGCTATGTATTCAGTATATACTCTATATTAATTACAAAGTTCCCTCTAAAATCTCCACCCACTAAGAATGCAGTGAAAATTCAATAATCAAGAAGAGAAAAAAAAACAGTTTATCCTGAATTATTTTTGATCTAAGGATTTTTTATGACTCATTTCTCATGGTTCGAGAGGGTGACTTGAAATATGCCAATTATTTAGTGCAGATGTTATTTTAAGTTACATCAGAAAAATGTATTCTCCCTGAATAAAATTTTTTTTTTTTTGTTGAGTGATTCGGATTTCAGACCCATTATTTATAGTGGGCAGCCGCAATCTGGGAAATATGGTCTTAAGTTTTGACCCCCTGATAATAATTTTACTTTTTGCTTATTTTGCTACGTCTCCAGAAATTTTTAAGTGAATTGAAAACTTTTTGCCCACAATTTTAAAATTCGTTTATATAAAAGTAATTCCATGCAAAAAAATTTTTTTAGCAAATATTTATTTTTTTATTATTTTGTTTGATAATTCTACTTGGCAAAATTTGTTGAACCTGAGAGATCCAATTTTAAAACTCGATTTCTCAGAAACTATTCTACTAATTTTGCCATGCAAAATTGGTAAAATACTTCCTGAGTGCAATCATGAAAAATGCTCCAGTGCAGTCATGAAAAATGCTCCAGTGCAATCATGAAAAAATCTGCTGGAAATTTAAAATGACGAAAAAAAATTGTATACCTTAAAATTTAAATTTTTTTTTTGTCTATTATTAGATAAAATAATACAAATTAATAAATATTTAATAAAATGTATTTTTTGTATGGAATCATTTTTGGATAAACGAATTTTATAATTGAGGGCAAGTAGTTTTCAATTCGCTTGAAAATTTCAAGAGACGTATTGAAATATACTAAAAGTAAAATTAACATAAGGAGATCAAAACTTTTGACCACTCTCCGGATTAAGCTGTGGGGTACCATATTTCCCACATCGTTACTACCCCTGGGACTTTTGGGGGTAGGGAATCCAAAATTCGTCGAAGAAATAAAGGTATGTTTCTGCAAAAAAGGTTCCGATTGCCTTTGCTTGGTGCCTGATTTTGAAGTTTAAAATACCGTGTACACTAAATAATTAGCATATTTGAAGTCACCCTCTGAAACCATTGAGAATTAGTCCTAAAACGTGAAGATCTGATCATATAATCAAGAGTTATTCAACGTAGTCTGTTTTTTTTGCTGCACTGTACATCAAAAACAATAGAGTCTTGCGTTAACTGTGTTTTGTTAGCACGCTTTTTTTTTTCTTGATCATTTTGTCTTATATCACAGTGTAGGAAATTGAAAACAAACAAGTGATTATTTAAAACTTGGTATCACACTTTATCTTAAGCAATTTTTGAGATAAAAAAGACAAATCTGTTAGGTAGCTAACTGGTCATATCTTGTACTGTCGTGCAATTGAAAAAATGACCTAAAACAATAGACTTCGATAGATGGATAAACATGATAGATTAATTCCCTATTATTCTAACTATTTTCTTTCTGTTGCTAATGGTATCAATGCTAAAATTAAATTTAAAAAAACTGATGAAGCAAAAGTTATTTTTGTACAAAAATTTGTTTGCAGTATTTCTAGTTTATCTTACAAAAATGCCATATACAGTCAAACCCCGCTATAGTGATCACGGCTTATAGTGAACTCCCGGATATAGTGAACGAAATGTTCACTCCCGTGCCTTACTATACACGTATAATGTTATTTTCAGTGGATATAGTGAACCAAAACAGTGATGAAGTTGGATGTAATGAATTTTTTTCTGTCTTTGACTGATTTCCTCCCCATTTTCTTTGCAATAATTTTGAAATTTTTACTTTAAAATAAATACATATACGGATTTTTTTAAACCATCTATAGAAATTACTTTTATGTGCTCGAATGGCTGGTTCGACGTGTTTAAAAAGCGGAATAACAGAAATTCAGGAAAAATTATCTGAGAGTCGGGAAGTGTTTCCATATCTGATGTTGAGGATTGCTCATCAGCTAAAGATTACTAATTTTTATTTGTATGCAGGACGAAGACTGATGAAAAATGACACATTTTTTGCTACTACATAATATTTTTCAGTCATTTATATGAATATAATGTAATAAAAGGGAGGAGTTTGGGAACCATTAGTGAAATTGCCTGCGTAACGGATATAGTGAACTCCCCGTTATAATGAACCGAAATTTCAGTTCCTTATAGTTCACTATAGCGGGGTTTGACTGTATATATAAAAATGTAAATATTTTGTCCCTTAGATTTTTTTATAGCACATGAGTGTAGCACATAGCCACTTTACTGCACCTATACATCACTTTTAGAACTGTAGCTACAGCAACTTGAAAATCAAAGGAGTGGATGGGGATTCTTAGTGGGTTACCTGCATGTGTTTTGTACAGTGACATATAGATAAATCGTTTTGTGTTTTAAAAGAAGTTATAATGTGTAATTTTTTTAATTAATATATATTTTTTCCATTCTAGCCACAATGCAAGAGAGAGATGTAGAGATTGTTACTCTTTGTGAAGAAAAAATTAAAGCCATGTTTGGTGCTTTGGTAATATTACTTTTCTTTATATGGGCAATATCAATTTTAATCAGTAGAACTATTCCTGAAAATTCTTTATGATTATTCTGCCATGCCTATAATAAATTCTTAGTGAATTATAAATCACATGTGTTTTTTCGAGATGGTTAGATTTACGTACTTTATGAATCGCACACAGTTAAGTTTATGCAAGCTATGGCTCGAACATTGCAATTTATGTTACAAATGGCATTATACATCTTAATTACCTACTGCATAATAAGTATTAATGATTTATAATTCCTATTCACAAGGTATAATTTTAAATTTTACTTAACAATTCATAAAAGCTTTTTACAAATACAGTAAAACCTTGATCAATCAATTCTCATCAGACCATTTATTGTACAGCGCTCAAAATAAAAAAGATATCACCCTGAATAAGTTTTGTTCTAATGAACAAAGTTTCACAAACTAATTGTCTATCTTAATAGTTTCAAGGGGACTTCAAATATACTAATTAATTAGTTCTCACTATTAATTAAGTTACAAAATTGCACACAAAAGTGTACTTTCTCTGAGTAAACATGTTGTATTTTTCATATTTTAATTCCTGACTCTCAAAATTAAGGGGGAAGAAATTTCGAAAATATTTGATCGAACAGTGGTGTGCTAGGAAGCTATATATTTGGCAGCGTCCCAAAAAGGGTCAACCTTCTATTGCCATAGCAGGAGAAAAACTTTAATAAAACCATACTCTAACTGCGTCATCGACAAGAGAGAAATACTTACTCTTTCACCTTTTCTAAGCAACCAAACTGAGATAATAAAAAAAGGTATTTTTTAAATAGAAAAATGTCTTGGAAGTTTTTAGGAAGCAGATTTTTTTTCTTTGGTGTCTGCTAGAAAGCATATATTGCTTTAGTCTCCTTTGAAAATAAAATTTGAATCGATTTATAAATTACTTATAATTTAATGTTTCATATGATATTTGTACCAATACTTTTCTTATTATGCAATACTTAATCAAATTACCATGTCAATTTTTGAATCACATTGTAGTGATCTCAGTTATTAAGTTCTCAATTTTCTTTTCAGGAATTGCTAGGCTTTGATAAACATAAATTTTCCCATGTAAGTTGTTATTAACTGTATTTTTTTTCTAGTTTCCTTTATTAAACTTATGCTACAAAAATATTTAATTGTTGTGATTTAGGTGGATTTTCATCAGTTTCTAAGCAAGGAAGAGGAGGAAACAGAACTGTTGCTACAATCTAATCTGAATCAAGGTAGGAAAAAAAACTTTGTTAATCGTAGTTCAATAATTATATAAGCATGTTTTTGGCAATTTTGTGCTCATGCCTCCTTGTTAGCAAAAATAAGTAAATCACAAAACTCTTCACATGCTTACGTAAGAAAGCCCCTGATTTTTGCTTTAGCCGCAGTAATCAAATTGTAGGATTAAATTCAAATAAATTATGGAACTTTGTATAAAACAACATGCATATTTCAATTCCTTTTAATAAAATTTGAATCGATTATTCTTTAGGAACATTTTGCGTTCTCCTTCTGAGACTAAAGCAGGGTGCGTAGCGTTTGTAAAAAGTACTTAAAGGTGCTTTTTTGGGGATTTCGTTTTTAAAAGCTTTTAAAGGTGCTTTTTTCTGAAATTTTTTTTTTCTCCCTTCACTGATATCTGGTAGATCCCATGCATTTCACGAAAAATGAGGAGCTTGCTGCGTAATCATTCATGCGGACTTCATGTCGTACCCACGTTAAGACTTGTGCATGCGCCTACACTTTAAACCGAAACCCGAGTGCTCCAATTCGGATGGAGAATATCAGATCCTTATGAAATGTTTTTCTTTTTAATTAATTTTAATTTTTTTTCTTGTTTATTTTATTTTACTTCTAACACTTTTTTTGACGTAGGGGGTAAGGGTACTTTTGTTCTGAGTTCAGGGTCAAGTTGAATTCACTCGGTGATGTGGGAAAGTACTGATTGTTTCAATTTACGCCCGTTTCTTTCTTTTTTTTTTAACGCTGATCATTATTGATTGAATATGAATTTTTTGAGTGCTTGAAAATTTTTGTAAAGTGCTTGAAAAGTTTTTAAAAAGTGCTTATTTTTGATTCAAAGATTTGGCTACGCACCCTGTAAAGTTTTTAACATCTGAAATTTCCAGGAAAAATTTCTTTCCAAGGTATTTTCTCCCCAAAATATAAGATTTTTCCAAGTGTAAATTTGTTTCAAATTTTTTTTATTTTTCCCACTTTTTTCCTCATATTCTCCCCTTGTCAGAAAAAATAAGCTAACACCAAACAAGGGTTGCCACTCCGCAGGGAAAACCTGGAAAATGCAGGGAGCTTGAAAAATCACCCAAAATAACAGGAAAAATGGAGGGAATTTTGAGTTTTTCTTTACAAACTGGGAAAAAACAGAGAATTTTGTTTCTTACTTTCGTTTTTAAAAAAATGATAACCACTTAAAGTACAATGTATGTCATATTTAAGGATGATATTTCAGCTGTATTAAACTATTTAATTTACTAGAAGCTTAATGTCATATCTTATCTTTGTTCTCTCATTTGCAGCTTGCCATATTGCCAGCAGGTTATTGTATTTTCATACAAATCCTTACAATAATTCATTGGAATGTACAACTTCAGCCAGTATGTCGCCCGTTCTTCCGAAGAGAGCCGAGACGTTTGGAGGTTTTGACAATTCTGGGAGAGAAGTAACTGACAAAGGTATATTGCCGCTTTTTCTTTCTGAAGTGAAAATTGTAAGAACTGTGTGAAAAAAATCAGAACACTTTAACAACTTTTGATACAATTTTAACAGACAAGACCTACTATTGTGATAGTTAAAAGATGTAACAGGATGCATAGTGTTTTTCAAAAGTGCCTAAAAGTACTTTTTCTGTTTTTTTGTGTTTTGAAAGTTCTTAAAAGGTGGTTTTTTTCTTTGGGTGCTTTTAAAAAGTGCTTAGTTTTCCCTTTTCAAAAATGAGATATTTTTCTTTCCAATGTTGATTTTTGCAACATATCCAAAAGCGTGGGTTTCACATTGTCCTATTCTATTTATCGAAATTCATTCAATCACAATCCAATTCGGCGTACCGTCGGTTTGTAGCATGTGAAAGCGCCAATCATTTTCCATGTTTGCACTTGCGACTCCGCATGTCCGTCTACTGAGCTGGAAGGTGAGATTCTTGCACTCTCATATGCAACTCTGCTGCATTTTGCGAGATATTATCCATTCCATTTTCCACCCTCGGAAATGGAGCCGAGAAATTTCTCAATCTTTTTATGGTGACTAATATAATCAAGAAAAGAATTTTTTTTATCAGAAACTAGATATTTTATCATGTTCATGAGAAGTCTTTGAAACTTATTTCGCATTTTGTTAATGTATGTAGTGCTTGAAAATATACTTAAAAAGTGCTTATTTTTTGTTGAAAGATTTGGCTACGCATCCTGTGTTAATATGATTCAATCACTAGACCAAAAGTTATTTAGGTCCTTTTTTTTCCCTTTTTATAAAACAAAAAAATTGTTCGGTATTAAAGTCGTAACTGGATTCTTTTGTGAATTTAGGAAGCATGTTTTTTTTTTATACATTTAAATATTTGTGTGTGTATTATAATATTTTTTTTCTCTAGTGAGCATCCTAAAGAAAAAACTAATGCAGTTGAAAGAAATCGATGGTGATTGCAGTGGAGAAAGAGAACTTTCTTATTCCGATTCTAGTCTACATATGAAGGTAATCAATTTCCATACTTTTAACTAGTATTAATATTGTGTGATGAAATTATAGATGTTATATACATTTTGTGTTATGTTATTAAATTTTTGGTTTGTTGATGAGTAAATTAAAAAAAACTCATTAAGATAGAAATCATTAATCGCTTTTTACATATTGTTTTGTAAAATTTATACTAATTATGTTATGGTTGCAAAACCAATTTTTACTCACAAATTTTTCTAAACTGAAGCTGGTATATTTTTTATTTGAGTTTTTTTTTTACTAATAAGCAGGCTTTAATTTATACATTAAGGATATATTATATAAGGAAGTGTATTATTTTAGGAAATATAAAGAAGTGTGATGTCTTTGCAATTTGAAAAATTATTCCTGGAAAAAGTTCTCTTTTTTTTCCTATCTGTCAAATTACTTAGCGTATATGGCATGCATTTTTTAGTTTTTATAAATTGAATATTTATTTAGTTTGAAAAATGTCTCATTGTTAATATTTTTTAAAAAAAAAATTAGAGCAAAATCCTTTATTATCGGAAACAATTTTCCCAAAGGCAAAATTTCTTTGGTGGTTACATTCTCATTATATATATGTTTAGTTGTATTTTATTGCTATTTTGACAAACAATTATTACTGTTTAAAATGCTTCTTAAGGGTTCTAATAACCAATTACTCTACATACTACAATTTTAAGTCATTATTTATGAAATTTGGTGTTTAATATAAAAATTCAATATTAATGAAATTAATTATTTTGAAGGCAAAACCAGAAGGAGCACCTAACCTGAAATTTGTTCCACTTGCTAAAACTCCCGTAAGTAGTAATTTCTGACTGTCTGATAATATAATGTGTAAAACTTCTGATAAATCATGAATTGTATGTTAACATTCTGTACTTGCAAATTGATTTAGGTGTGAACCAGAAATATGATGTGTTTTTCTATTTTGCCTAAAAATATTGTTAATTAAGACTTCTTATGCTAGTGAAATGATAGAATTTGAAAGAAACTTTTGTATGTGTATCATCTGCTATGTATCAGACCATGTCAGCTGATATATTTGCCTGTGTGTTTGTTAAATATCAATCTTGTTCAATGGTGGTTATTTTGCAAATGTTGTTTTATAGTTTGTCACAGTTAGCAATACCATATTTTCACAAATAATAATAAATTTTTGCTTTACCAGCAAGTCACAAATATCGCATTTTTATCTAGTTTTGCATTTTGTGTTGTAATATTAGGAGGAGAGATGTAATTACAGTAGAGAACCAATTATCCGGGATGCTCGGGACCATCGCTATCACGGATGTCCGAATTTCCCGGTTTTCTGGATCGACCAAAAAGTGTCGTTAATCGATGTTTTATCGAACCCGAATTACAAGGAAAAAGTGTAATGCATAAAGTAAGAGAAAAAAGAAAGGTACTCTTAACTTTAAAAAGAAAAAAAAAATGGTAAAAAAATAATATTTAAGAGAATAAAAAATTTGCAAGTTTAGACAAGAAAAACAAGATTAAAAAATACAAAATTCTCGTATTTATTTTCTAAAAATAATTACAATTCCTAAATTAACTAATATAAACAAAACCAAAGGTTAAATAACGCGATGCATTTCATACCTAATTACACGGGGGAAACGATAAAATAAAAGGAAAACTTATTAATCTAAATAAAAAACACTTGAAAATTATCGAACCGAAACGATAGTTAAAAAAGGCACTACCATAAATATTGAAACCCGGAACAAGGCAAGATCAACGGAATTTTAAAAAAAAAACATAATGATAAAATTTATGAGTAAAAAGAATTAATTTATTGAGTGCGAAATTTATCGTGAAAAGAAAGGAAAAATCAAACGTAGTGGAATCAGAAAAACAAAACTGCAATCTGCTTCTTAAAATAATCCTATGTTTAAATTAATAAAAACTCGATATTTAATTACAGCAGATGTGATTCCACATCAATAAAAACTTCCAAATGATACCGCACTTGAGTTTATTCAGAAGAAAAAGATTTTATTTTTATTAATCGATGTCAAATAGATAAATATATTTTTCCTTTTCATCTTCTGTTCACTGACATGCATGCAATGCATTCCCCCCCCCCTCGTAAATTAAACAGAAAACGAAATCAGCATGCCACACCCTTGAGCTTGATTGACGGCCTAAAGGAGAAAATAAAACATTCCTCCCTTCCCTGCCTTCAAGGTCACGAAGGAAATGACGTTTCTCTGGGTAAACGGGGAAAAAAATTCTCCCCTTCCTTACATTTTCCTCTACTCAGCTTCAAGGATGAGTTCATTTCCGCTTTTTTTCATAATCGTTCTAGTTTAAAATGGCGGGAAAACCGATCAAAAATTTTGCCGGTTATCTGGATACCGGATAAATGGTTCTCTACTGTAAATTTATTTTTCATCTCTTACCAATAAATTAGTTTTTAAAAAAAATGCTACTTTGTCATGAATATCATTTTTAAATTTTGAGATATTCCAATATACTTCCGGTATATTTTTCTTAAATAAATGCTGTCTGCTTTGTAGGCTTTTGACTGATTGTTGGTTTTTTTTGTAGGAAAGCTCATCCAGTGGAAGTAATTTTAACTATTCATCCTCACCTTGTGGTTTTAATCGTTTAGAAGAACTAGCTGAATTGAATCAGCTTCTTGCATCAGTTACGGTAATTACTTCTCTTTCATTTTATTGCATTATGTTGAATTCATTTTTTCTGAATAATTTTTTTTTTAAAATTAAGGGACTGAATTATTCATTTTTAGCAGAGTAGTAATTCAAATTATTAACTTATTATCATATGCCAGTTATTTGGCTGCTAGGGCATTAGACCATGATTTCTCCAATATTTCTCTACTTGAGTGAAGTAAGGAGATAGTGCGAGGAAGTCATCCAACTACAAAGCGGTCATATCCTGGCCTGTTATACAAACAGAACATGTAGCTTGCATTAGCATTGTCAGGGCTGATTGTGCTCTGGAAAAAATCCGGATTTTTCGCTAGCAGTGATCCGTATGTTTCCGGAGATCGAAGGTCCAGATGTTTCAAAAAAATCCTAGATCGCAGAAGTTTCCGAAAATCAAGTTTTCAAAGGTGGAACTTAAAAACACAGTTTATTTGTTTGTAAGGGAGAGCCAGATACTTTATAAGCTTATATTCATGATTAATATTCATTTTTTATCAGTAAATAGTTATTGTAATCATAAACTCAAGAAAGAAAGAAATATTTGTAAATTTTAATTACTTCTCCAGGTCATCATGGGTATATGTAAATGGTATAGGTATGTGTAAAATTTTAAATATATTTTAAGTAAACCAAGAAATATTGAGAAAAAGGAGAAAAAAAACTTGCTTAAATTTTTTTCTAATTTTTAAATTTAAAGTTTATTTTTTTTTTTTTAACTCAAGAAATTTTCCGGAATTTTGACTTGGGCTCACAATCACCGCTGCATTGTACAAATTAGCCATATTTTTGACGATCTTGGAAAAAGCTGTTGCAGATTTAGGGTTACCGAGGGTGCACCGTGAGGAGACTAGCTACATTACAACCCTAGAATTTAGTCGTCAAACTTAATTTGGTAAATTCATTCATTGTGATATTTTTCATTTGCTTTTCACTGAATATTTATTTATTTATTTTCAGAGCTTACTACATCATCATCTTTCAATTTATCGAAAGTAAGTTTCTTTTTTACTTCCTATAAATGTAAAAAAAAATAGCATGTTTCACAAAATGTAAATTTTATGGTTTTATCTTTCTTTCATTATAATTAGAATATCAGAATTAGAATATCAGAACATCATTTTTGTCATTAATGCTTTTAAAAGCAACCAAATAAAAACTTCATGTTAAATGTTGGCAGATTATTTTTGTTATTACATTTAAAAAACTGCATGACTATGTGATTTCATGTTAAAAATGGGACAATGATTAAAATTTTTGCCTTGTGCTAATAACCAGGTTATATGCATTCTCTTTTATTTATACGAGAGTGTTCAAACATTGTGCAATCAAATCTTAGATTATTTTGTACACCACCGTCCTTAACAACTGATTTCAAGCAGATGTCTTCTTTGTTAATAGATTTATCTGTTTAAAATGTAATTTTTACCCCAAATCCGGTTATTTTGTAATTTAGAAGAATTTTTTCAAAATAAGGGTTATTTAGGGTATTTATTATAAATTAATTCATATTATATTCTTATAATTGTGATTTTTTTATTTTTTTTTTTTTTNTTTTTTTTTTTTTTTTTTTTTTTTTTTTTTTTTTTTTGTCGACCGGCGTGTGTAGTGGTAAGGGAGCTGACCTCACATCAAAAAGGTTCTGGGTTCAAATCCTGGTTAAAGCATGAATGTTCTTTCATTCTCTCTCCTTACTGTGAGAGCAATGTTGACAAACTAATAGGGTGCCCCTGAAAGAGTGGCCAACAAATCTGCTCTACTGATACCTGAATGACGAGCGTCCCTTCTTTGGGCATTAAAATTTTTCTATTATTTTTTTAGTTTTTTTTAATTAATTCTGTTAAAATAATAGAACTTAGATCTCCGTGACCCTTTGGCTGTTGAGGGAATGCTTTATTTTATTTAAATGTTTAAATAAAATACTAATATCTGAAAATCGTGATTAAACAGAGAGTTCGGAAGAAGACGCTATAGGCCAGATCAACAGTTGGAAGAGCTTAGGAACATCCAGGAGAAATTAAGTCAAGAAAGACTTCAATGGGAACAGGAAAAAGCTAAACAAGAGAAGGAATTAGACAAAAAGAGAGAGGATCTTCTTCAAATGCAGGTGAGGAGTTTTTTTTTTTAAAAAAATAACTTGGATGTAGAGATATGTTTTAACTATTTTAATCCTCTACAAATTTGTTTGCCTTAAATTGAACTTTTTCTTAAGTGTTCACTGCAATTATTCCATTTCATTAAATCTCTCTAATCAGAGGTGCCTTATTAATTCTAAAAAACAAGGAATTTTTAAATTTTGCGAAGAGTTGGAGAAGGTTTGGTTACTTACTATAAAAATTTTTAAATGCAGTAGAACGCCGATTTACTGGATTATCTGAACCTTCAAGGACAACATCTTTTTTCGACCTACTCCAAAAAAAAAAACTTTTTGTGAAAATGCTTTTCAAATTTATCACTTATTTTTAAAATATTTGAAAGTAGTAAATATCATTATATGTATATATAAAGAGTTATTAAATAGCTGCTTTTGTCCTACGCAAACCTTGAAAAAAAAAACTTGTTCGTTCTTTAGTTTCAATGTGGATGGCAATTGGCTATGAATATGAATGAAATCAGGTAGCACACATTCATGGTTGCAATTTTTACATTTTTTATTTCTTGCCTAAACAGAAAAAAAAATAAGAATCATTTTTTTATTATTTTAAAAAATTCCAAACAGGGTTGTAAGTTGTTAAATACTGTTGGTTAAAAAAATCTCTTCCCATTTATGAATAACAATACATTTCTCCATCCTTTTGATCTGCTCTATCTTCTTTTTGAAGTTTGTACCAATATTTATGGTTTTGAGAAAAATTCAAATACAATGGCTTGGATGCTGTGAGAATAATTAGTACTGTTTGATCACAATATCCTTTGAATACAACATCTTAGAATGACCTGCCTATTTAGATATACATTCATTGTCTTGAATTCATCTTAAATTTTTTTTCAATTTTAGTAATTAACTTTATTTTGATATGTAAAGATTGTAGCCATGTTTACTCTAACAAATTCATGGTGCATAGAGTTTTTAAAAAGTGTGTAAAGGCGCTTATTTTCGACTTTCGTTTTTACAAGCCCTTAAAGGTGCTTTTTCCATTCAGTTTTTTTTTTAAACATCATCACTTTTCAAATACTTAATTTTCCTCTCTCAAAATTGAAATTTTTTTTCTTTGCCATTTTGATTTTCACCGCGTATTATGCAAAAGCCTGCATTTCACATTGTTCTATTCAATGTTTTCACAATGTATTTTGGCAAACCATTGGTCCGTAGCATATCAAATCGCCAATCATTTTGCTTGTCTGATGAAATATTTGCAGGGCTACATGTGCATATACTGAGCTGGATTTGCTGAGATTCTTGCACTCCATGTGCAACTCTTGCTACATTTCGCAAAATATTCTCAATTTCAGGCTTCATTTTCCGCTGTCTGATATCGAACCGAAAAGCTCTTGATCTTTTTATAATGGTTAATATAATTAAGAAAAGAGTTCTTTGTCAGAAACTGGTTATTTTATCATGATGATGTAAAAATCTTTGAAAATTATTTTACATTTTGTTACTGTATATAGTGCTTAAGAATATTTTTTGAGTACTTAAAAGGTGCTTATTTTTTGTTGAGAGATCTGGATAGGCACCATGAAATTGTATTGCTTAAAAAAATCGTACATCTTGTAATGCTGTAATTTTCCTTCTTAGAAACTTATCTGTGGTGAACATGCCAATATAGAAGGAAACAAACTCACCTGCTATGTTCCAGACAAAGTTTGCGACCAGAACTGCACCTCACCCAATCTCTGCCGCCACAAACGCTCCGCCTCATTCGACTTCCGCACCATAGTCAACGTCAACCAGGACACGGGCGGCCGACAGTCCTGGAGCGGCCCCATCGATGATGCGTCTCTTGCCTGGCATCAACACTTCTGCTCAACACAGAGTTCATCCGACATTCCACAGGCGGTGAACCACACCCCATACATTCATTTCAATCAAAATAATTGCCAACAGACTCTAGGGGCTTCCAGGGGAAGCTTCTCCGCCCCCTCTAGTGAGCACAGACAATGCGGAAGGAACTGCGATTGGACTTCCAAAGAGGCGGAAAACTCTTCCAATCACTGCTCCGCGAGCACGTCTCCGGAGAGAGAGTGTAATAAATGCTTAAGTCCGCAACGTTTTGAAGTGAATGGCAAATGATTTGTGGTTAAAAGGAAAGTCTTTTTAAATTATTGTGATTCTCTTTGTAGATAAAAAAGAAGTTATGGATGGACAATCATTTCTCATTAGAATGTTTGCACGGGTGATATTTCTCATTTGGTTTGAAGAAAAAAAAGGAAGAAAAGTTTGCATGTTGTTCATATTGAAATTTTAAACTATCTCGGATGAATTCAGTAAGAATTAACGGAGAAGTTTGAGGGCATTTTATTTTTTTGTAGAATCTCATCCGATATTTAAAATATCTTCACAGGGGTCTGTCTAGGTTTTTTTGAGCCTGAATTAAAAAATTCCGCAATGACCGGCTTTAGCTAGAATTTCAGATTGATAATATAAAAAGTAATTTCCAAGTAGCAAAAATTTAAAAAAGATTAACTTTACAAAATTTTTTTGAACTGGAGAATATTGCCTATAATATTAGAATATATGTTCTTTTATATTTAGATTTTAAAAAAATTCTTGCATTTATAATTTTAAAAAAATAGATACTGTTCTGTTCTATACATGAAGGCTTTTTTTGTGTGTGAAAATTAAAAATCAACGCAAAAACATGGTAAAAATCTGGATTTATCGTTTTTTACGGGATACAAAAATAAAATTTTAAGGAAAAGTATTTTGTGAAACTACCATTTTTCCTAAAGTTGAATGTGTGAAGGTACCACTAAATGGTAGTAGATTTAGCCTGGACAGACCCCTGCTTCAGTTTCTATTTGTTACTCTAAGAAAAAATTTTAATTATCTAATATAAAATTAAAATCATTACAAAATTTTCATACAGAATCCCAAAGACAGAGAAAGAAATTTAAACTGTGCAAAATTAGGAATTATCTATGTTTGACAGCATTTATGTGTTACAAATAGAATAAAATCTTTGATTTTTTTAAATTGATTAATTGGTGAAAGGAAGGAAAAAAAGATTTTAATAAGATTAGAAAGTGGTAAGTTTAGAAAGAATAAAAGAATTTTAAGTGTCACTTTGAATTATTCAATATAACCTATAGTAGAATTGAAGAGAGCCTAGCCTAATACATTTCCTCTTTGCAGAATCGTGGTGACATGGCCATTTTGTTGCAGAACATTACAGAGTTCTTGCAGAAAGACTTTTTTATTTGGGAAGCAAAGAAGTTTGGGAATTTTTATCTGCAGATTTTTTTTCTTCTAACTGCGGAATTATATTTTAAAAAATGCTTTTCTCGCATATCGGAGGTGTAATAAACGCTGGTGATTTTTTTTTCTACTTTTCTTTGAGAATTAAAAAATTCCGCAATGACTGGCTTTAGCTAGACTTTCAGATTGATATTATAAGAAGTAATTTCTAAATAACAAAACTTTATAAAAAGTTAACGATATAAATATTTTTGAGAACAGGAGAATATCGTCTATAATATTAGAATATGTATTCTTTTATATTTAGATTTTAAAAAAATTCTTACATTTATAATTTAAAAAAAGACTAGATACTGTTCTATTCTATACACGAAGGCTTTCTTTTTATAAACAAAAGAAACTTCTGTTACTTTAAAGTAGTAACATATATCTTTGCTTCTATTAAAAATATCTTTCGGAAATGTATTAGTACCAGAGAGAAATGTCGTAGAAAGCTCTAGAAAATTCTGCCAGGGGGATATATTTATAAGAATAAAAATAAATGAAACACTTATATATTTACTCACTTAATTCAAAATTAATATTAAACAGGGTGCATAGCGTTTTTAAAAAAGTGCTTAAAGGTGCTTCTTTTAGTCAGGGGTTTGTAAAAAGTGCTCAATTTTCTAACTTTTTTAAAAAGATATTTTTTTTCTCTGCCGTGCCGATTGTCGTTTTAAATTACAAAAAATGCATGATTTTCACAATTCTCTCTGCAGTATTTATAGTCAACTAGTTATTTCATCATGATTATGTAAAGTTTTTGAACTTTGATTTTATGTTTATAAATTAAGAATTTGAAACAATAGAAAAAATTATTTTTATTGCTGCACAGATCCTAATTATGATTTTTTGTTGAAAAACCTGGCTACGCACCCTGTTTAAAGTAGTTAAATTATCCCCCATGCAACTGTTTAAGGAAACATTTTTTCAAAATAATATAATCAATGTGTAATATTACTAGGATTATTTTGCCTGCAAATAAATTCTACACTTTCTATAAAATCTGTGTTTTAAATTCACTTACCATATCAATCTCTGAATTCTTACTGTGTTCATTTATCAAATTATATTTTCTTGATATTGGTCTTCCTAATGCAAGTATCAGCTTTTTTGAGTCTTGGAATTCAGAATCTCACTTCCTGTTAATGAATGTTGTACTGCATTTTATTATTGTTATAAAAATGTAAATATCTTAGACTGTTATAAGTCTGAAAAGAATATAAATGTTTATGCAATTTCAAATAAGATATTATAGCAGTCTGAATGTAAATAATTTAGATTGTTATAATTTTTTTTTAAAAATTAATGTTTTATGCAATTTTGTTATGGACGCATTAAGTATTATAACAGTCTGGTTTAGGCTGTTATAATTTTCAAAAGAACATAAATGTTTATGCAATTTCTAATGAATGCATAAGGGTTTTGTTAAAGGCAATATAAATTGTATCAAAGACTTAGGTTGTATGTTAAAGTTTTTGCAATTTTACTGTACATACTTTGTGTACTTAAAAAAAGCTCTCTTTTGTTTTAAAATTTTTTGCAAAATAGCATGGATCTAAACATTAATTTTAAAGTTACTCATGAACTTGCTTACAAATTTCATAATTACAAGTTGTGATATCTATTTTTTTGTTTTTTGAAAATTTTTTATTTGTAATAATTTTTTATGTTTGTTCTCTTGATTGACTTTTATAAATTACTACTTGGAAAAAAGGGATGATTATTTTAATTAACATCGTAGACAACTGAAAGATAGTGTAATTAAAACAATTCTGTGTTTGAGTTTTTTCTGAAAGGAAAGTTTTAGTATTTTGTATTTTTTGAAAAAGAAATTTCATTCTCCATGAATATAGTGCATAAGAAGATTTAAACTCTAGTTTTTACATATTTTTTTATCTATATTTAAAATATTTAACTCTTTTGACTGAAAGTAATCAGATTTTTTTTGTTTTAAAAAAAAATTCAGGCATTCGTCGAATTTATGAGTAAAATGTAATTTTTGTAATTTTGTTTTAATTAATTGAAAATACAAATCAAGATAAATTACGTCTTAAAAACTATCGATATTTTAGTCTTATTTTTTTAAAAATTGTTTTATAGGTTTTTATTCAATTTTTGTCACAGTTAATTAAAAACATGATTTTTATTATTTACCTGTTTATGTTTTTTACTCATTGTTTATTTCTATCTTTTGTACATTTTAATTTTTTGAATTTTTAAGTTTACTAATTTAGGTGCTACATGACAGCGAAGTACTTTTTTTCCGACAGTTTTTATTTTAGGAATTGAGATTATTATACTTATAATTTCTTTCTTATTTCACTAGAAATGTTGAGATCTATGAAATTCAAATTATCATACATTGTCACAAATAAAATTATCAACACTATATGTTTATTTAACATAAAATTTCAATTCTTTTTTATTTAAGGTCACCAATTATTATAGTTTGATAGTATTATTCTCTATAAACATAGTTTCTTATTGATAATCTGGAATTGCTTACCAAGTTTTAAAAAAAAAATTATAAATTATAAAATACTGAAAGAAATTATGAAATGAATATTGTGCTTTATACTATTTAAACTGATAAAAAATTGTCACAATTATACTCAATATCAGTGGTTTTTAAATATTTATAAAATCTGAAATCACTTGAAATTTCACCAGATTTTTCAAGAAATAAAACAATTTGTTGTTGCAAAATATATTAAAAATCACATACAATGCAAATTTTATATTTAACAATAATTATCCACTTTCATTAAAGAAATTTTTTTATAAAAAGTATAAAAAATAAGTCACAAATTTTAATAGGATCTTATAGCATTTCTAAATGCTTTCAAATTTTTTTGTGTTGTGTGAAAAATTGTCTTTCAACCACAGTTAGAAGTTTTTTATATTCTCAATCAAAAGCATCCACAGTAGGATGTTGTAAACTAATAAAACTGGAATAAGATCTAAAGTTTAACTCAAAATGTTTAGTTACTTATAATTATTAAAGTTTGCCTCTATGATATTATAATGTTTTTGAAACTTTGTTTAAAAACTTTTGATAATCATTAGTGTTTTTAAATATTTTATTCTGACTTGTTTTTTTAACCCTTTGCTTATGGCTGATATGACTTATGAACCAGAATAGGAGGTATTATCATGCTGGGCTATACTGTTAATACCATAGCACTGGGACCAAAAAACTTTTGATGCTCCAGCTCTGCTTCCACATAATGAGCTAAAGCTCCAGCTCCTCCAAGGCTCTGTCAATTTTATATATATTTATGTGCACTTTTGAGTTTCAGATTTTAAATTTAATGTTTTTATCATAAGAAGGAGCATAAAAAAAAACAATAACCTAATCATCGACTCACACAGAAAACACTAATTTAATTTACAGTTGAATTATTAGTTCATTCTTAAGAAAAGAAATAAATCCTTCTTCATATTTCAGGATTGCCACTCCACACGGAAAACCTGGAAAATACAGAAAATTCAAAAATCACCTGAAATGCAGGGAATTTTTTTTTTCGTCTTTCAAAAAAAGGTGACTACTCAAAGCTCGATCTATAGGATATTTAAAGATTATATTTCAGCTGTACTAAACTATTTCATTTACTATAGCATTATTTAAGTATCTTAAGCTGTTTATCCAGCAATTAAAACTAATAAATATAGTTAGCCCAATATAGCTCACACAAGAGCACAATAATTGTTGTTTCTTCTAACTATATTGTACACTAGGGAACCGATCATCCGGAACAATCGGGACCATCACTATTCCGGATAACTGATTTTTCCGGTTTTCTGAATCGCTACAAAAAGCCGTTTTTTCATTGTTAAACCCAACTAAAAAAAAATTTTTGGAAATAATCTTAAAAAGAAGAAAAAACGATGAAGTAATACACTAATGGTTATTTCCAAAATGATGGTAAGGTAAATATCTTTCAAAAAAGAAAGAAAAATCCAAAAATCTTAAGAGGAAAAAAACATTTTTTTTTTAAAAAATGGCTGGAAAATGTATCAAATTTCGTTCCGGTTTTCTGATTTCCGGATAACAGGTTCTGTACTGTATATAATATGTACAGAGAAAACGGGGATTTTTTTTCCTTCCAGATTAGAGTCTCAACCCTCTATTTGATCTGAATTCATTATAAATGTATTTCAATGCCAAAAATAGTTTTTCTACACCAACTTTGCAAACGGGTAATACTGTTACAGTGTGGTTAGCCTCTTGAATATCTGTAGGGTACAATGAAATTGCTGGAACATCGTGAGGAAAATTTAGAGCTGTAGCCTTAGCTCGAGGGAAAACTCCAGAGCTCTCCCTC